ACGTAGACAAATCATATAATGATTAAAAGTTAAGGGAACTTAAATAAATATTATGAAATGACGGACCTATAATTTATTTTTTGAGACCCTTGAGATGTTTGGAGAGGTTGCATGAATGACGAGTTATATAGGGTTAAAAGTGCAGTCTCTCTGAAAGTTGAATCTTAATTGTAATTATGAAAAATTTACCTAAAAATTCAGCAAAATTATGAAAATTCAGGAATAATAGGAAAAAGGTTCCCAAGTGGAAGATTGAAATGGAACTCAAAGATAATATTTAGTGAAAAATAGGAAAATTATGAAAAGTAATTATAGTTAGCAAAAAAGTAATAATCATTATTAAAGGGGATAAATGGGAAGACTAGCAAATAGCATTAGATGCAAGGTCAAAAGTGAAAGATTGAAATTCACCTCAAAGATAATTAAGTGCTTAATAAACTTGAAATTTTCAAGACATATTCTTGAGATCAAACAGAGTTTGGTGGAAGATTCAATTGTTTCTCAATATGATAGCTCTCTAGAGCAATGTCATTATCCCTATAAAAGTAGAAGGATATAAACTCCTTAGTCCTGACAATAACATCTGTAATTCTCACACACAATAGTACGAAAAAAAAAATTGCCAAGGCATTTACAGCCATAAGATACCTAATCATGCGTACTTCTTCTCACAACTCATTAATATTAATGTTCACAGCCAATCAACAAACTATTCATGTTTAATCCGTACAGCCAATAAAATCCATGTTTGATGTAGACCTCTCCACCACATTTTTCATTTAACTCCTTAGTATATACTCCATCTGTCCCTTATTATAAATAATATTGGAATTCATCACGTAGATCAAAATGTTAGTTAAAATTAGTTGAAGACAATAAATGTGTAAAAATTATAAGTTCTTTCACTGAAATGCCCTCATTTATTGGGAGAGAGAGTATAAGAAAGAGAATAAAAAATTATTATAATAAAAAGAATTATGGAAGAAAAAGAATGTGTGATGGAGAGATAATAGTTTAGAAAATGAGATAATAAATATATTGAATATTAAAATAAGTAATTAATGAGGCTAAAATAGGGAATTCGCTAAAAAAATTTAAGACAACTTATAAATATTGCTTATATTTAGGGACAAGAGGGACATGGTAGTTGTTGCTTATAAAATGGGATGGATGAAGTAGTTTCTATTTCCCCTCATGTATTATCTCGAAGAACACTTAAGTCAAGTTTTTTATACTTATTATGCCAAATTTTTTAATACATATAGCCATATGTTCTATTTTTAAATATTATCATTAAACTATAAACTTATATTAAAAAATGGGACATATAATCATGTGTGACTGAAAACTTAATGTAACAGATATAAAAAACTTGACGTATTTTTTTAATCTTATGCTTGATTCTTTAATTTCTATATATGTCATGTAATGTGGCTTCCTATTTTCATCAAATTTCATTTCCCCACTTATTCTTCATTTTCATATTCATTTTCAATCATATGTTAATACTTGCACTTTGCTAAAGGTCTCCACTTATACTCACATTAATTTGTTTGAATAAAAGTCAGATATGATTCCAATTTGAGGTTCATATAACGATATGAATTTAGGCTAAAGAAAAAAAATGCTGAGTGACAGAGAAATGGAGATAGCATGTGATCAGGTTTTTCCTGACCGTTTACACATACTTGAATATATGTGTGTGAGTGTCTGCAATAGAAAGAGATTCCATTGTTATTACTCCTTCGCTCTTATACTAGTGTGTACAAGCCTTTTACACTAGTGTGTACAATGATCTTATATTTAGGACTGGAGGAGTATTATTTTGCCAACGAGAAGGAGATTCCATTAAAAGGTTTACAGTACAAAACGAAAATCGAGGTAAAAAAACAGATAAAATGAAAGCAACAACAAAGCAAACATCGGCAAAACAAAATAAACGGTCCAATATCACTAATCTCTAGTCTATCAGCATGTGAAGATGCATTTTCAAAGAAACTTCTTCAATCCCAATTTTCTGAACATAGCCATCAACATTGACCATGATCATGCATCACAGTTTCTTCGCTTGCATATTAAAGACCTATCTTTCAAGAAAATAAAAATAATGGTGGTCTGAGTATCTCCATAATTTTAATCAATATACTTCTATCAAATTTGAATCACAGCCAAGTATCCTAACCAAAGCATTCAGCTGTAGAAAGCAATCAATAATGTATATAGAATCTAATAAATTAATCGCATTTTTCATTCCCTCGTTAAAATACTCATCATTCGCTTTCCCTTACATTCTTTGCCATTCAATCACTTAATTAGCTGCTTGCTTCACGCTTCAGGTTGCCGGCCGCAAAATGGCAATGACGAGAGGCGGCGGCTCACCACGAATGACGGTGGGATCTGGCGGAGGAGATCTGTGTGCATGTGGTTTCGGCTCGTTACTCTTTTTAGGTTTAACTGCATTGTGCCCTTGGTTAAGCCTGCGACGCAACGAACCCAAGTGCTCCGTCGCAGCCTTCATTGTTCCTGAACTGAACAAAACCTCAAATTCAACTAGCAATTCCGCCATAATCTTCATGGTCGACTTGGATAACGGAAACAAGGAATCTGGGATTCGATACGACAACGTCAACTTCACCGTCGCTGTTTTTCTTGATCGGAATAGCACCAGTCCGATTGGTAGCTCCACCATTGTCGGGTTCTATCAGGGGCGCAAGAAGAATGCGAAGAAGTGGAGCTCTGTTGAAACACATGCCGGAGCACTTAACCGGACGGCGAAGATGGACGGGAAAGCATACTTCCGGGTGAATTTTACGACGTCGGTGAAGTACAAGATCATGTTCTTTTACACAGCACGACACAGATTATGGGGAGGAGCCAATGTCGCCGTTAATGATGCCAGCTTGAAAGATGAGAAAGATGATATCAGACTCGGACACTCCCTTCCGGTAATTATGTCCGGTGCAACCCAGCTGGCGGCTGGCTGCTATCTCATGCTTCTGGTTCTCGGTCTTTTTGTCCATTTTGTACCTTTAAGTTTTTTTCTCTAGCATTGTTTTTTTCCCTTTTTTTTTTTAAAAAAAGCTATGATTCTGTTTTTGTTTCAGAGAAAGTAATCATGCTTGTTAGGGCATTTGCCGCAGTTTTGGATTTGGATTCCCAGTCAGTTTATAAGATTTTCTTTCAAAGCGTAGTTACTGTGGAAGAAGGGTCTCTCCACTTTCATTCCTCGCTACTTTCTTTCACTTCTCATCTCAATCATTAAATTGTATTTTAAATGGTTCATATTTCATATTTTATAAAATTATGAATAAAATGTTAAATTTAAATTGCAATATTAACAGTTGACATGATAAGTGAATAGAAATGGGGGCAAGGAAGTGGAGACGCTCTTTTTCCAATTCTTGTTCGGGCCTCTCCAAATTATATTTATACTGCTGCGGTCATAAATATAAGACCCATAGGACCAGAGGGAGTATATTTTAATTGTAGTTGTTATATTTAATGGGTCTTATATAAGACGAGAGGGAGTATATTTTAATTGTAGTTGTTATATTTCTTCCCTGTTTTTTAATGAAAAATAATGGTTTTTAATTTGCAGCATTAAAAAAAAAAAAAACCTACTTCCCCGTAAACATAGGAGCTGGAAAATGGATTATTTTAATCCTAAATATAATATTTCAATCATTTTTATCTTCAAAATATATAAGGTTTTCCAAATATTTCTATTAATTACACATAGTAGAAAAATTAACTAATTTCTTACAACAATTAATTTAATTAATTTTTTTAATATCCATAATTTAATTATCTAGCTTTTATATTGAAAACCAAAGACAAAATCTGAGATCAATTATTAAAAGCAAGCAACTAATTATTGAATTAGAGTATTTGTTGAAAATTATTTTATTTTTAACACATTTATTAATCCAATTAACTTTAACAGTGATTTTTATCATTAAAAATTAGTTATGTGTTTTTTAAATAAACAAGAGCGAAGGATTATCTATTTAGAATTTTGAAAGACTAAAAGCACTCAATAATGCACTAAATTATCCCGAGGCATCGTTTGGTTTCGCTGATGCTTAGGCTGGGAAAGAGGGGAAAAAAGACTGTTTCCTCCGTTGAATCCGTTTGGTTGGCTGAGCCGAGGACAACAATTTTCAATGCCCAAAATACCCTTTTGGGGAGGAAAAAGATGAGACGGAAGAACTGAAATACTCTACTGTTTTTTTCTTTCTCTAATTTATTGCATACAATTAAATGTCACAGATTCAATTTAGTCAAAATGCTCTCTTTGCTTTGCAAACAATTTGGTCAAATAAGTATGGGCATCTTGGTGTTTAAATTAATTTGCTTTAAGTAGTTTTATGCTATATAAAATAAGCGTGTAAATTTTGCTGATTCATTTTTCTTGGTATCCATACTCTTTTTTTGGCTGGAATTGGTATCCATACTTGAGAGACCCAATAATCCATATGAGTCATGAGACTATTTGGGCTACATCTAAAGATTGGGTCCAATAATTTGTCGGCGACCATCTGCCACTGCACCCTCATATGGATCACCGATCGGATTAATTTGATGGCTACAAGAACTGAAAGAAAATAGAAGAGGATGTATGTATGTATGTAATAGTTTTTTATAAACTTTAGTGGAAAATATTTAAGCAAAACATGAAATAAGGAATAGAGCTACATTTCTATGGCCACAGGGTGCAATTTCTATTAATCAAAGCCTGGTCCAAGAAAATGCTTCACTAATTACGAGTACATTGCCCAGTCATAACGAAACTCATGACAAAGGTACAGGAAACAACAATCAATATCCAGTATTACACGAAGCTGTAAATTTACATGACTACTTGGAGGATGGAAAATACGGTTTGAACAACTGTGAGAAACAGGAGTACAATTGCAGCAACAGAAGCAATAGTTTGCCAACGTGTTTGACAATAATCACGTTTTAGGGTTGCCTTCTCCTCGTCCCAATGAGTGTTATGATTACATATTCAATTTTTGGCAAGTCTTCAAATAGTGAGTACTGATAGCTGAATGAACGATATTGTCTGAAAGACCATTAAATAACGTGGCAACGTTTTTCGTATCACCTAAATAGTTCCCAACTATTTCATGGTGAACGAGGAGATCCGCATCCTTTTCTGTGTTTATTAGCCAATACAACAAAAGAGCATACTCAGTAATGTAACCATTTCTAGGATAATGGCATTGTTCTAATGCTATCATGTTACGAAACAAAAGTTCAGGATTGTCATCCACCACAATATGGGGAATTTCAAGAATATGTCCTGAAAATTTCACGTCCAATAAGCACTTGCTCTCACAATCCTTCAACGTTACGCCTGCTTCTTCCAATGCATTTGCATTGTATAAAAGAATATGGCTTCCATCCTTTGGGACTCGCATCCATTCATCCTCAACCTCTGGGTTTGGCTTCCTTTCAAACTTTTTTCTTTTCAAGCAAAACCATCTAAGGAGATCAGAAAAATGATTTGGGTTTGGCTTCCTTTCAAACGTTTTTCTTTTCCTGTAAAACAATCTAAGGAGATCTGTAAAATGCTTTAGCTCAACAGTAGAATGAGGTTCTAATTCTTGTCCGTTGTGATACCAAAAATAGTTATGAGTGAGCTCAAGAAATGAAGGGAGGCTACCGCGACGATCATGGGGCAAAGCTTCATTAAACAACTTTTCAATAACAAAGAATGGAAGTTGATTCTCAAGTAAAAGTAGATCTAGAAGTATAGAATCTGCTAACCATGGCTGTGACAATTTAGCATCGTTGTGTACCTCATCCAAATAGGACATGATGAAGAGTTCAATAATGAAGACGGCATCCATTAATGTCAGTTTCACAAGTTCTGTTTCAGTAAGGTCAATGGTGTCTGAGTAAGAAGCACAGACTTGTGGCTCTAACTTTTGTACAAATTCAACCAATTCGCAACAACTTGAGTTGGTTCTTTGAGTAAATCTTTTAAACAATATATGTTTATGCCTTTGCATGTCTTGCAGCCCCCTTTTGTGACAATGAAAGGGGCCAATGGAAACAACTTTTGGAGTGTAAGCATTTCCTTTAAGGTTACGGAGCCTACTGGGCACCCTGTAGATACAACAATGCGGTGACGAACGACCATCTCCACAATCTTGAATAAGTTCTTCGATGTCTTCAGTTACCTACAGTCGCGAAGCAATCATTTGTGGAGTACTAGTGTCAATCTAAACAAGGCAAAAAGAGTGTACTAATTGAGGAATGAAACAGAAGCAACCTTAAAAGTAAGGAAAAAGAAACTGAAGATTGGTAAAGGTAGCATACGGTTTGTTGAGCACTCTCAAAAATAGGCATCGCCGGGTGAATGTCGACAGAATATTGACCAGTCATTTATGGAGCAAAACCCTGAACCTAAACAAAACAAGGCTAAAAGAGTGTAATAATTGAGGAATGAAACAGAAGCAACCTTAAAAATAGTAATCAGAAAGAAATTGAACAGAGGTAAAAGATGCATATACCGTGGGAAAACCTCTACTCATTAGTATTGCAGCAGTCGACCATGTGTAATAAGGCTAAAAATATTGTAATAATTGAGGAATGAAACAGATCGAAGCAACATTAAAAATAGCAAGCAAAAAGGAAGTCAAGAAAATAAGAAAAGCCTTCAAAATTGAACAAACAGTAGTAAAGGATGCATACTTGGAAGCCTTGCTCCTTGATCTCTGGAGCAATCGTATCTTGAGAACAAGTGCTTATCTAAACAAAATAAAAGATAAAAAAGCGTAATAATTTACGAATGAAACAGATCGAAGCAACCTTAAAAATAGTAAGCAAAAAGAAATTGAACAGGATGCATAGGGTTGTGGAGGACTCCCTAAGACCCCCGAGTCCTTTGTTTCAGAATCTGTTACTTCCGCCATCTAAACTTGTTAGCCAAGAAACAACAGGAGAATGAAAGTAGATCTGCTGTGCTCTGTGTTAAGAGTAAATATATAGATGGGAGGCGCGGCGCTGTGTGTCTCAGCAAGTGGCACTTACAACATTTAAATGACTTCCCAATAAAAATGAGTTAAGATGCGAATTTGCCCTGAAAGTTTTTACTTAAAAGTGCTAGGTATTCAGAATTTTTTTGGCTCAATGTCATCCTGGAAGTTTCCAAATCAGAGTAATATCACATTGGCTATTATCTAGGTTAAGTTTGACTATTAGTTGACCAAACATGCCAAATTGGTGGGTTTACATGTCATCCATGTCATTTTCTTTTCCGAGTTAAGGTATAAATTTGCTCTGAAAGTTTTTATTCAGGAACACTGGGTATCTGAAAGTTTCCAAATTGTAGTAATGTTGCCCAACTGTTATCCATGTTAAATTGCTTGACTTGAACATTCTGTAAGATATTGCTAAAAATATTGTAACTTGTGAGAGATTGAAGATCAATACCTCTGGCGTAAAACCATTGCGAATATTGAATAAGACCCATACATCAGGTGACAATCCGTTATTATTCTCTCCGTTCTGATCTGTAAATTACTAATTTTTGCTAAACTTGATTGAAGAAACCGTTGTTGTAAAGAAGAAAGAATAGGGTTTCCCCATAGAGGAGGACGAAATGAATTTCGCAGTCTAAAAGGGATAGAATTTTTGTTCAGTGTAGCAAGAAGAAGACTTTAATGAATCAGTGTTTATCAGTTTTCTTAGAGAAAATTCTATCACTACACATGCAAAACACTAACTATCAAAATATTGCTCAGAATATAATGGTAAATCATTTAAATCCATTTTTTGAAAAAAAAAATGTATACAACTCTTGTATTATTTACATCCTTTCATTATTAAATGTCAACTCCATAATTATTTTCTAACCAAGAAAATTTTCTCATCACTTCCTGATGAATACAATTAAAGAGGGCGGCAAAAAACAAAGTCTTCAATAGGAGAACTTGATCTAACGTCTTTATTTGTCAATAAATTGAAAATTTTAAGATTATTAATTTGTCTTTATAATCTAATTATCTACTCTCTCCCTTTCTCCCTCTCTCCAATTTGAAGAACTTGGACTAATTAAGGATGGTATTATTTAAATAAATAATTTTAAAATATTGTATTAAAATGTATAAAGTTTATAGAAAAATAAACATGCACGTATTTTTTTTCTGTACAATAAACATGCGTTTATTATAATGACTAATTTATCTTTCACTATAACAAAGTCCCATTTGATTATTTTCTTTTGACACGTGTTTGAAATATTATTTTACTCAACTCACGTATTTAAATTTGTAAAAAATTACTAAATAAATAAGTTTTCATAACTAAAAAATTTAAAATATGAGTAAAACTAGATGAGTTCCAAATCCTACGTATTCTTCTCTACTCAAACGACTATTTCTATATTTAAGAACTTAAGTTATCATCAAGATTTCACTCTCTGATCTCAATAGATTTATTCTCAAATTTAATTTTTTTAGAACAATTATCCAAAACAGATTATCCAAATAATTATTATGTTGGTATCCCTAATTATTATGAATAATAATGTATTACTACAAATTTTATTTTATATATCCATACACTACAAAAAAAAAAAGTAGAATTACCAGCAAAACATTTCTAGCAGTTAAATAAAACTGCTACAAATTAAGACATTTCTAGTAGTTTTATCTCAAACCGCAAGAAATTCGTAGCGGTTTGACCTAAACCGGTGTGAGTCCCAGAACTTTCTAGTGGTTATAGGTAAACTGCTAGAAAGTAACCGCAAAAACGTTCGGGCATTTTGGTGTGAAGTTCGCGCCAAACTTCTAGCGTTTATTTCTAGCTGTTCGAGTGACGAAACCGCTAGAGAATACAAATGGCCGTTCTATTTTCTAGCGGTTGGAGAAACCGCTAGTAATTGGACAGACTTTCTAGCGGTTTTAGTGGAAACTGCTAGAAATTTTTTACTTTTCCTGAGAAGTTGTGACACGTGGCTAAATACAGGGGTGACGAGGGTAAAACCGCTAGAATTTTCTAGCGGTTCCTTTAAAACCGCTAGAATTTTCTAGCGTTTCCTTTAAAACCGCTAGAATTTTCTAGCGGTTCCTGTAAAACCTCTAGAATTTTCTAGCGGTTCCTGTAAAACCTCTAGAAAATCACAGCCTATATATACCCTCCACCGCGTCATTTTCACTGTTTGGCCAATTTTGAAGCGAAGCTCTGCCAAATTCTCTCCACAAAATATATCCAGATCCAGATCCAGTTACATATTCATATTTTCAGGTAAGAATGGTAATTTATTTATAAATAATTTTTGTTTTTAGTCTTTATTTTATTTATTTTATTATATTTTTTATATTAATTTTGATAGACTAGCTTAATTTAGTTAGAGTTAATAGAAATTTTTTTTATAGTATGCCACGTTTTATAGAGTTAATAGAAGTAGTTATTTTTTTTTTGATAAGTTAATAGAAAATTTAGATATAGGAATATCTGTTTTTCAATTAACATTATTTGATATTATTATTTAGAGTCAATGGAAATAATTATTATTTGATATAATTATTTATTTTGAATAACTGTTAGTTGTAAAATATATTTTTTAATTTCAATTGCTATTTGCTATTATTAGGATGAGTCGTCGATCAGGGAAGGAGCTGATTGATCCTGATAGATCAGGACCTAGCGAGGACCGTGGTGGTGGCAGTCATGGTGCTGGTGAGCCATTCCCAAGTATTCATGACTATGATCTAAACGAAGAGGATATCCTGAGCTTTATGGAGCACGATGATGTCTAGCAGATTGAGGAGGCTCATTTTTCGGGGGATGAACAATCTCATGGTGATGCTAGTGAAGAGGAGGAGGAGTAGCAGGTTCAGAAGAATGAGAATCTCAATGCTGAGCAGCGTCCTACTCTTAGACGCCAGACCAGTTTTGAAGTGGAATTTGAGGGTAAATATTTATTTAACTTCTTTAAATTCGGTAACTATTTAATTTATATAGAAATTGTTTTAATTCATTAATATATAATTAATTTGTTAATTAAATTTTGCAAACTCTGAGGGGAACAGGTCCTGTAGGAGGCTGACAGCCAGAGAGCTGTCTATGACAACTAGCGGACGAGTGGTTGTGCCGCTAAATGAATTGGGCCAACCAACCAAGAAAGGTGGCCAGTTGTATAACAAGTTTGTGCGCCTTCTTGGTCAGCAGTGGACCCTGTTCCCCATTAATGTGAAGGATTGGAAGAAAATCACTCAGGACAAGAAGCAGCAAGGTTGGGAAATAATGGAGGTAATATAAAATTATTATTTATAATTTTTTAATTTAAGTAAAAGAATATATATTTTGTTTTTAAATTATTTAATTGTTTGATTGTAATTTTTTTATTTATTTAGTTAACTTGTTGTTTATCATATTTTTAAATTAGTTAAATGAATATATATATTTTATTTAAATTACTTAATTGTTTGATTATGATTTGTTATTACAGCAATTTATTTTTACTGATAATATTTTGAAATTAGTTAAATAAATATATATTTTTTATTTAGATTATTTTATTGTTTGATAATAATTTGTTATTTATTTCATTAATTTATTACTTATAATATTTTTAAATTAGTTGAATGAATATATATTTTTATTTAAATTACTTGATTTTTTGATTATGATTTGTTATTAATGTAATTTATTTTTATTTATAATATTTAAAAATTAGTTAAATGAATATATTTTTTTATTTAAATTACTTAATTGTTTGATTATAATTTGTTATTTATTTCATTAATTTATTGTTTATAATAATTTTAAATTAGTTGAATGAAAATATTTTTATTTAAATAACTTAATTGTTTGATTATGATTTGTTATTGCTGTAATTTATTTTTATTGATAATATTTTGAAATTAGTTAAATGAATATATATTGTTTATTTAAATTACTTTATTGTTTGATAATAATTTGTTATTTATTTCATTAATTTATTACTTATAATAATTTTTTATTTAACTTGCTTAATTGTTTTTCTTTATTTTTTAATTATAGAGTAAATTTATACTAGGAGAGGAGTTGAGGGTGGATACGATCAAGAGATTGGGATGGCATGGAAGAACAGGAGAGTTGACCTGTGGCTTGAGAAGAAAGGTGACGAGATGAGGCCCAGCAGGAGATACTGGCAAATATACCTGGTGGAGTCCCGGAGCAAGACTGGTCGAGTTATGTTTATTTTAGGATGTCGACTAACCAGATGGTATGATAATATTGCATTAATTATAATTTTTTTATTTTTTGTCCCATTTGACTAATTTAATTTAATTTTTTCTATATTTTGTTTTGGGATCTTTCCCAGAGAAATACTGGGAGCGTCAGGCATCAGACAATACGTCATAGGGCTGGATCCAGGAGCTTTGCTATCACCT